CAATTTGTCTGTGAGGCACACAGGAAAAGCATCACAACTATCACATGTGTAAAGAACTGTAGCACATGATCTGTATATATCTTTTTATTAAATTAATATGGTATTACAAAACACTGTAAATTTTGTTTACAGACATATATTTTTTTGCTTTCCAGAAGTTTAGACTGTCGTAATTTCTTGGTAATTTCTTTGATCATATTTGTTGCTCTCTGTTGTATCTTCTCCAGAATCTTTTTGCAAATTTGGACTCCACACCCGAATACAGTATGTTTTATACAAACTTATAATTATCGACTTCTCCATTTTGACCACTGATCTTCCAGTAAATCCAAGTATTAATATTTAATGTGCTTTGGCCGATGCAATTGCCCACTGTCTTGATGTTTTTGTACTTGCGTGAATGATGACTCCAAGGTCCTTTTCTTCCTCCATTGATCGTAGCTCCTGATTGCCCAATTGATATTGAAAGCCCTTGTTCTTTCTACCCATGTGCATAACTTTACAAAAACATTTACCAATCTTCAAAACACTTGTACAATCTTGCCAAATCTTGTCTTAACACTTTCGCATCTTCCACAATGTTGATCTATTCGTATTATCAGCAAACTGATATTTTTGATATTATGCAAAAGTCAATGTCGTTGGTATAAATTACAAATAGTAGAGGTCCCAACACAGAACCTTGAGGAACCCCACTTGTAACGTTAATCCGTGATGAATTCTTGCCTTTAATTTGCACTTGTAGTCTTCTGTTCACAAGCCAGTTGGTGATCTTTTGAAACAGACTACCAGTATTCTACATACACGTAATTTCTTAATAAGTCGTCTATGTAGCACTTTATAAAACGCTTTTGTGAAACCCAAATAGATTATATCTACAGAGCTATCAGTGGCTATATTGTCGTACACGTCTTGAAAGAAACCCAAAAGGTTGAACAGAGAAGATTATGAGTCCATGCTGGTTGTTTTTAATTATTGAAGTTTCAGCCAGATGTTTAACCATGTTAATTTTGACAATTTTCTATAAAACTTTACATAATATGCATGTTAAACTTACTGGCCTCCAATTACTAATGGCGTGACAATGGCCTCTCTCTAGTCTCTTGTCTCCTGCCTTGATGGATTCGATGAAATTTTCATTTAAAGTAGCTCTTTTTTTATTTCTCACTTCATTCAGAAATTTAGAATGCAGATCGGCTGTTCCTGGAGTTTTTTTTTTTTTTTTTTTTTTTTTTTTTTAAGAAATTCTAACATTTTCACCACTTTTTTTTAATTTCTACGTTGCTTAGTGTTCTTGGTTTTTTTTTAAATAGGATCCTTGGCTCTTGGACGCTTTCCGTATTTTCATGCGTTTATCTTCTCCTTTTTCTCGTGCCATATCCTTTCAGGACATTGGCGACCATCGACCTCCGCAAAACCCGATCTTTGACGCTTTGTAGTAGTTGAAATGTGGTGATATTCAGCAAGTAACACAAGGATTGTTATTCGCGGTCAACAACGAATGTTATTCGTTGTTGACCGCGATCTTTTTTCCCTGCAATCTTTCCAGTAGTTGTTAGATTTTCCATTCTTTTCTTCCGCATGATGTGACCAAAAACTTTAACTGACCCCGTCGGATTATCTGTAGTAATTTCCTCATTTCGTAACCGAACAGTTTTAATACATCCTCGTTCAGAGTGAGAACTAATTTTTATAATTCTTCTCAAAACCACATTTCAACAGCGCTAATCTTTTTCCATTTCTTTAGAAATTGTCCAGGACTCAGAGCCGTAAGTTAAAACAGGAAAAATGTAACATCCTAACAGTTTTAATTTTGTTGATATTCTGATTTTACTGTTGGTAAGGATGTTTTTCATTTTAGAATGTGCATCTTTTGTCATAGCTATCCTTCTTTTGATATCCATAGACCATTTACAACATGAGGTAATCAGACTTCCGAGATAATTGAAGCTGTTGACTTGTTTCACCTGTTTACCATTAATGATTATGGAGCAGTTTTGCTATTACTAATAACCTTGCACTCTGTTTTGTTGATGTTAATTCGCAAAGCCTTTCCTTTCACTTTCAAAAACCAGTTTGGAAACAATTGTTTGCAGTTTTTCCATTAAATTTGCTTTAAGAGCTGTTCCATCGGCATATCATACATTGTTTATATTCACGCCTCCAATAGATATTCCAGGTAGATCTTCTATCTTTCTCACGATGATCTCACTATAGGTCTGTGTGTGTCGGAAGACCATATTTTATAAAGTATTGTAAAAATTTTACCGAATTGTTGGCATTAATCAATTTAAAGTTTGTTTTTTCAATTTTCCTTACTAGAATTTTCTGGAAATGGTTCAATTTATTGAAAATAGAAATGTTATCCAAATTTATCATGCAGATAAGCCAAATTTCGATTTTTCACAAATCATCTTAATGCAGGTTTAGTTTATATAATTTTTTTTAAACAAAGCAAAGTTCTTTGGCAAAGTAAGTTACTTAGTTCGTTTCGTAATCATCTTCTTTGTTGTTGTAATTTCTTCGTTCTTCATTGTTATTGAAGTTAGTATTAAAGCGTCGAGTTGGTAATAATGTAATCATTCTTTGCTGGATGTTTATTTGGAATTTATTGATATCTATTAGGACAGCTTCTGCAGTTCTTAGATGTGTTGTGTTGGTGTTTTGGTAAATTACTTTTGTGTTGTTGTCAACAATTTGGCGGGCTATTTGAGTTGCATGTGTTGATTGTAAGTGAGATTTGATGACTCCTCTTTGTGTATGCATTGTGAAACGCCTTGATAGTGAAGTGGTCGTAACACCAATAAGCTGTTATAACCGCCGGAATGATCAAATTGCGCTATATTATTTTTTATCCTAATTATTGTTATCTTTGCTATATTTATAATGTTTAGATTGTAAACCATAGAGGTTTGTAAAGAGATATCGAATCTATGCTAAAAATCTACAGTAGAGGCTACATAAAGATTTGTGGATAGAGAGGTTTCCAGCGAAGTAGTTCCTTTAATTAGTTTAGTGTTTCTATTACTGTTGGCGGTCAAATAAAAGTTTGCGTTTGAAGCAATTGTGTTCATCTAACGGAAATCTTGAACCTACGGAATAACGATAACTTGTTTTATTATTCTTTAAAAAATCAAAATCTGACAAATACAGTAACCGTTACAGCATGCAAGGCAATAGTATAAAGTGATAACGAACAATAAATATCGGAGAAAAAATGTTTAAGCATGTAAAGTATGGAAAATAAAATAATGTAATGGTGTAAAAAGACAAATAAATAAAATAATTCATTAATAGACTAGTTAATGATTTAGTAAGTTAGTTAAGTGATCGATAAGAGAAAAGAAAACTAAATTGAGTAAATGATAAAGTTTTATTGAGTTCTAATATATTTAAGGTGTCTTGTGATGAAGGTCTTAACTTGATATGTTGACTGAGTTGCGACTTGATAGTTATGCCTGCGTTGACGAAGGTTGTTTGTAGTAGTTTTGATTGGTAGTAGTAGAAAATGGATGGCGTGGTACTTGGTATTTTCCACTTTCTTGAACAGTCTTGAATCGAGTGTGTTGCATATTTGACTGACAATATGATATGATACAGGTAAATAGTTGAGGCGAATAAGTTTTTTGATGAGAGATTGAATTTTGAAGAAAAAGGGAGCAGCATATTTGATGTGTGAGATGATGGGTGATTCAGTGATGTCGAATAATTTGATGCCTCTAAGACTATTTGAGCGAAGTGCTTTGAGTGAAATGTTTGAAAGCCTTCTGTGATGATGTGATTAATATACAGTGTTACATTAAGTGTGTAGATAAATGTGATGCTTATTATTTTTAATAGATTCGTGCGAGTGATTGATGGATGCTCTGGAGATAATGTTATTTTTTTACGACTATTGTGAATGATGAGTTCGAACGATTCATTGAGATTAAGTGACAGATTGCATTGCTTTGACCATATAGTTAATGAGTCGAGTTCTGATTGGATGATGGTTGTGTTAGATGATCGGATGACAAGGTATGTGTCGATAACTTGACGATTGTTGGAAGCTACAATACTGATGTTGGAATTATAGAGCTCTTTGAAGTTATAACATTGATTTGGTAGTAATGAGCGTCAAAGGTTACAACAATACGAATGTTGTTGACGCGCACAGTCGTCAATAGGGCATTTAAATTCATTTGTTACATGATTATGTTTCAAAATTGAATCGTCTTTAGGAGTGCACAGTTGTTCTTTAGGACCAACTCAGTTGTATATTACAATGATTGTAAGGCATCACAATTTGTCCTAACAACAACTGCACTCCTATTGACGATTCTACTTTGAAGCGTAATCATGTAATATATAAATTAACTTGAAATTGCTCATTTTATAGAAAAAATTATTATCCAAACTCATCATTGAAATGTATTAAAAATAGAACTGTTATCATTCAAGTTCATCATGCAGATAGGCCCTATTTCAATTTTTTACAAATCATTTTCAGTGCAGCTTTGGTTTAGACAAATTATTTAATAAATTAAAAACGCGTTAGATTATGGTTAGTTGAAATTGGACATTATTGATGGTATTTTGTTTTGTTGGATTTAATACGTTTTATATTTGTTGTTTTGTTTCTTTTGTTTTGCATTAAATACTATTGGTTCATTCAACATTTATTTATCCATCTATTCATCCATCTATTCATTCATTCATTCATTCCTTCATTCATTCACTCATTTTAAACTCCAAAATTCATCAGGTCACTTCGCGTTCACTCATAGTCGGTTAATTCATCCATCAGTCATTTTTCATCCATTCAATTTAAAATAATTCTTTCATCAACTCATTTTTCATTTCTAAGTAATAAATTCATCAAATCATCATACGTTCATTCATCATCAACTTACAAAACCATCTATTTTATTCAATTATAACACATCCATTCATCAATTCATTTCAATTAATACATAAATTCAATTCATGCGTAGATTCGCATTCCATAAATCTATACATTTTCAACCAATCTCTCCACCTCTCATCAACTGACCAATAGCCAGGAGTTCTTCCTCCTCCATGATTAAGTAGTTGTATTCATCAAGCAGTCTATCGAAGTCCCAGCTGTTGTCAGCATCAGATTGACTCACATCATCACTTCCTGTTGAGATGTCCGTGTAAGACGAGTCCGTGCCCCCTGCATCAGGTTGTCCAAGCATAATAAACTATACTTCTAAATTATGGGTACATATTTTATTCTTGCCACCAACAACCATTACAACAACGTCACAAGCAACAAGATAAAATAACCACCAACAATATCATCACAACAGCCAACAGCAGCGCCAATTAAAACATCATCAAAAACATTACCTCCAATTAAAACATCATTAACAACAATTTTGTCACCCCCACCACAAAAATGACATCACCAATAATAAAACATTATCAGCAACAACATTACCTTTTACCAGCAATATCACCAATTAAAAAATCATCAGTAACAACATTACCAGTGAAAACATTATCATCTAAACATTACCACCAACAAGACCACAAATTAAAACGTCATTAACAACAACCTTAGCACTAACAGATGGAAACATCAACACCAATTAAAACATCACCAACAACATTACCATCACCACCAACGACATTACCATCATCACCAATTAAAACAACATCTGCAACAACTTTACCACCAAGAACAACACATTAACACTACTAACTAAAACATCATTAGCAACAGCATTATCATCAGCAATAATATTATCACCAATTAAAACATCATCACCCGCAGCATTAAGATCATCATCACTACGAAATAAAACATCATCGGTAACAACTTCACCACCAACATCAACAACACATCATCACAGCCAATAAAAACATCATTAGCAACAACATTAGCAACATCATCACAAATTAAAACATTAGCAACATCATCACAAATTAAAACATTATCAACAACAATACCAACATCACCACCGCCGCCGTCACCATCATCACAACCAACAAAATACCACTGACCATGAGACACGTCACCAGCCTCTCTCTCAGCAAACCATCCAATAGGGGATTCATCGCGCAACTTTACGTAATCATTGCTAGGACCAGCTTCAGATTTCACATCACTATCATCATCGTCATCATCATCTTCATCAATTTTTTTATCGGGTTTTGATTCAGTTGGCAATTTATCACTATAAATTGAAATGACGGTTACTTCCCGATCATGCAGCTCCTGATCTATAGATTGTACAGTTTCTGACAATGCATGTCCTTCCAATTCCTTTGTCACGTTTTGTTCAATTGCAGCAAGCTCTTCATCGTTATCAGCATTGAGATCTTCAGTACCATGAGTCCCACCTATCACCTCTTGTTGTCTTTTCCTAACGTCATTGAGCTTACGTTCATCGTAGTTGTCACCGCAGATACACCTCACTTCGTTTTTTTGTCCATAAACAGTAGCCATGTTCATGTGACTCTCTGGTACTAAAAATACCTCTTCGCCATGTTCCTTTTTCACATTATTTTTCTTAAGCTCAGCAACTGATTCTAAGACTAGTTTCTCGGCGTCAGCCAGTATGATGGATGTGAGACTGGACTGCTTGCTCGTTGATTGCAGTTTTCGCGATGAGGTCGATGCAATGCTTTCTTTCCTATCAATTTTCTTTAAACTTTTGTCGGCAGACGCACTCGATGAATGTCGTTTGTTCAGTTCAGTTGAGTGTTTCTTCCGATTGTGCAAGTCAGGTGTCAAATGCTTCTTCGAATGATCTTTATAACGCAACTTCACTTAAAGATAGAAGTAAAAGTAAATCAGAAAAATAAAAAGGCTACAATGTCCAAAAAAATTGTTTAACAAACATACAAAATATGATGATTTTAATTCACCTATAATAATATTGCAATAGGATTTTTTGAATTCTATATTGGCGATAATAGATCGTGCATGTTTTTATAAAAATTTTTATATTTTCAGTCTAAAAGCGTTATTAATTTGCAAATTTCAGTTTAATTTTTGCTGAATTTGATTTGGATAACTTGTTCCGATGAAGTTTTTACTTGAAGAAAACTAGTCAAGTCTCGGACAAGGAAATCACTCGGAAGCATCCAAGAAGCTGCAAGAGTGGTGTGGCAAAATTTCACGATCGTTAACTCAATTTCGGAACAGCTTAAAAGTAATGAAACTAAAAGTTTGAATGAGATGTCTAAACTGAAAGGTGAATTAGAAACTGCTACTGCGAACACAACTGCGAAATCGTCAAACATAAGTAATGAACGGGTAGAATTTGTGACTAAAGGCATTAAAAACACAAAGAAAACACCTGAACAGTAAGTTTTCACTAATGCGGCAGTCAATGAGTTGAATGAGAGAAAAACGTAAAAAAAATGTAACTAAATCAAAATCGACTAAAAAAATTTTATCAGAAAAGAAAGTAGAAGATGAGCAACAGACTAAAAATATTTTTGGAATTATTGGTAAAAATGAAGTGAAACCTGTACATTTAAGAAGACTCAGATCTAAAGATGCAACTAAACCTGATCCAATCCTTGTTGAGCTGAAGCAGCACTAAGACATCCACTGTCACTTGCAGCAAAAAAATTGAGACACAGTAACAATCATAAAACAACACATATTAGTTCTAATTTAATTAAAGCAGATAGAAAAAAATAAGTTAGTAAAATAGAGAGAGAAATACATTGAATTCAAGTTTAGAAGCTGATTCTTGCTTTAGATATGGCATCCGTTGAAAACAAGTAGAAAGGTTCAAGAAAAACCCACGGGTCATGTCATAGTCCTTAATCATCTCATGACATAGCTTTTTTGAAATGCATGTATCTAATTGAGACACCTTTGGTTTGATGAGTTTTGAATAGTTATCAGCACGTATGATTCTCAACTTGTTGCCGTGAGCGAAATTTGGTTTAAAGATGTGGCATTGTAAATATACCTAGATACAAAATTTGCAGAAAAGATAGAAGTGATGATAGAAGAGGTGGAGGTGTCTGCATAAATGACATAACTCAATTGACTCAAATGAGTTGAATGACACTGATTTAAATCTAAGTAAAGTTATCTAAATAAAGTTTGGACTGTTGTCTATTTTGCACCTGAAAAATAATATGTTAGTTGGATTTACAGACCAAATGACTGTTGATATGAATGATATGGATTTTGTTTTCAAAAATGTTAGAAAATATGTTGATAAGAAAGGTTTCAAAGATCTATACAACCAACTGGACTTAATATTCACAACAGAAACTGATAGTTATTCGCCGTAGATACTAAATTTGTAATAGACGAAATTAAAAAAGGGCACCTCATCATCTTTTTGAATTTATTCTGAAAAATATGGAATGGAACAACAAACATTCCTCAAAAGTTGAACTACAATAAAGCCAACTTTTTCAAACCTCACATTTTTTGTCAAATGTTGACTGTGTGAATCTAACAAATCAAGAAATGTATGATGAGATGATGTTTTACACCGGTAAAGCTTGCAATCAGTTTATTCCTACTGTCGAAATGTAAAAAATAAACTCAACAACTTCATGTTTTGAAAATCACGTGATGCAGATAATCTTCATCCAATACTTCTACAAAATTGTGTTGAGTGTTTTGCTCTACCAGTGACATTAATTTTCAAAGCATCATTAGCAACCAGTCAATTACCAATTCAATTCAAATCAGCAAATGTGACCCCTCTGTTCAAATAAGGCGTAAAGACGTTGGTTGAAAATTATCGACCAATCCCTCTTCCTCAGTTTTGTGTAAGATCATGGAAGGAATTATTCGTGAAAAAATAAAATATTATTTATATCAAAACAATCTGATAACTAAACAGCAAAATAGTTTTGAAAACAAGTCTTGTACTACTAATTTGTTGGACACTCTTGATATTATGTCGTTTCATTTAAATTGTGGAAGACCGGTTGATGTTGTCATCCTGGATTTTGCTAAAGCCTATGCCACGGTTCCTCATAAAAGACTTCTTTTAAAACTTAAAGCTTATGGTATAAATGGTCTAGTTTTAAAGTGTACAGAATCGTTCTTAAAAAATGGAAGACAAAGAGTTCAAGGAGAAAACACATAAAACTGAATAACTATATTTAGTGGTGTAACTCAAGGGTCAGTTATCGGTTCACTAATGTTCACGGTCCACTAATGTTCATTTTGTACATAAACGACCTGCCGTACTGCTTCACAAACATGTCGAAACTGTATGCTGATGGTACCGAAACTTTATCTGAAATAGTTTCTGATGATTGCGTTCAGAAACTCCAATCCGACTTAGACAGAGCTTTCAAATGGAAACAAGACAGGCTGTTAAATTTCAACATTAATCAAGCATTATGGATGTAATAACAAAACGAACAAATAGATGGTCAAATCTTAGCTGTTTCAGGAAGGGGAAAAGATAATGGTGTGATCTTCATTACAAATTTGAAATGAAAAACTCAAGTCATTACGGCAGCAAATAAAGCGAATCAAATGCTAGGTCACATCAAAAAATCATTTGCCCATTTTAACTGCAACTTAACGAGAAATTTGTACTTAATCTTTGTTCGGCCTTTACTTGAGTTTGCTGTATCGGTATGGTTTCCAGTACTTCATTGCCAAGTAAACTAGTGGAAGCACTTACAGTAAACAGTTATAAAGCAGGCTATGATTACTGGAAAAACAATAATCAATGTAATCGGCTCTCATAGTGTGCCTGACAACACACTTACTGGCTCCTTTGCCAGTCCACAGCGTACCTTACTACTACTACTACTACTACTACTGCTACTACTACTACTCATACTACTACTACTACTACTAGAACACCTTTTTAATTTTTGTAGAAAATGGAAGAAAAGTATACATAAACTTTAGTAAACATTAAAAAACTTAAGTAAATATTAAAAAAAGATTATAAAATTCAATATCAATTGAAAATAAAATAAATCATCAATAGTTTAGACACGATATTGCTTACCTACATCTGCGCCAACAGACCCTAATGAAACAATCGACTGATTTGCTGATAAGCCTAACTTGCATGAGAGTTGGTCAACATTAT